ACTTTCATATTTCATCCCCATTTTAAAAAAACAACATCTGAATCTTGGATAACAACACAAAAACAACGGTTTTACAATTTTGCCCTTTTGTGTGTGTGTGTGTGTGTGTGTGTGTGTGTGTGTGTATTCCAACCCAGCTTAATATCTGATTGTAAAAGGGGAAAAGGGATGCAAAAATCAATAAAAAGCAAATTTAAAAACCTGGGTTTTAGTGGGGGAAGGGGACCTACCAGCAGAATTTAACCCGAGTTGGCTTTCTAGTTAACACAATTTACCACTCCTGTCTTTCTTTCCTTTTGGAAGATAACAAAAGTTTGATCCAGGCACAGAAGAATTATTTCAACAGCGTCCAAGGCCGCACAATCCCATCTGGAGATAATAAAAGGCCCCATTTCTCTGTGTTTATTTCAAGAGGTTCGTTCTTTGGAATGACCTGAGGTTGCAAACTATAGAACAGTTGCCAGCTGAGGAGGACTGCAGCTTGAGTGCTACTCAGGAAGTCTCTATGGACCTGGGATAACTCTGAGATTTCCTTAGTGTAAAAGAGGCCCCTGTGCCCTTCCTTCTCTATAAGATGAGGGCAAAAAAAGGAACAAACGAGAAAAAGAGGGGAAAGGGAGCAGTGAGGAAATGGAACTGCAGTATTTGCATCAAATACCATATAATAGTCACTAATTCATGAATTTATCCACCTACTGCTGAGAGAAAAGGAAACTCTGCCCAAGTCTGTGCCTTTTTTTGAGACGGAGTCTCGCTCTGTCGCCCAGGCTGGAGTGCAGTGGCGCGATCTCGGCTCATTGCAAGCTCCGCCTCCCGGGTTCACGCCATTCTCCTGCCTCAGCCTCCCAAGTAGCTGGGACTACAGGCACCTGTCACCATGCCCAGCTAATGTTTTGTATTTTTAATAGAGACGGAGTTTCACCGTGTTAGCCAGGATAGTCTCCATCTCCTGACCTCGTGATCTGCCCGCCTTGGCCTCCCAAAGTGCTAGGATTACAGACGTGAGCCACCGCACCCGGCCGTCTGTGCCTCTTTTTACTGAATGTCTTTAAAAGTGTGATGAATGGTATTAGGGAGTTGGGAAGATGCAAAGAGGGAATATACAAGGGAAGGGTTTTTGTCATTCAGGAGCTTCCAAGCTAGTAAACCATAAGAGTGTCTTGTATATTGGTGGTTAGAAGTGTGGACTCTGGAGGCAGGTTGCTTTATTCATTTGAACCTCAACTCCACCACGTATGCACGTTTGTGCTAATTTCAAGCAAAGGGAAATACCGATCCACCTTTACACTACTCTGCAAAAAAGAAAAATTTTCTATCCTCCTCTGATGTTTGTAGAAATTCAAAATAAATTTTAAATGAAGTAAAGCAATGAGGCAAAGTTTTTATTTCAAACCATGAGCCCTTCTCTCCCCACTAGTTGAGAATCTCTATGATACTTATTCAATGTGATGAAAGATTGCTCAGGCTCAGAGAGGGGCAAGTTATGATTGGAGACAATGACTTTGCAACATAATCAATTCATCTAATTTTGCTATTACCTTGACAGCCTAGGTCCAGGAGCAAGGAAATTAGATGGTGTGTCCTATTCAGAGTTGGGATTGGCAAGACTGGCTCATGGGGCAGGGATGATGAAACCAGCATGCTGGTCAAAGCCTTTGTTAAATGTCTCCCCATGGAGCCCAGGCTCAGAAGGGGCTGTCCAGCCTTCTGCAGTCCTTCCTAGGCTGCCATAAAAATGTACCACTGGGCAGCTTCAAACAACAGAAATGTATACTTTCACAGTTCTGGAAGCTAGGAGTCCAAGACTAAGGGATTGGCGTGATTGGTTTCTTCTGCGGTCTCCAAAGGAGAATCTGTTTCATGCTTCTTTGCCAGCTTCTGATGGTGGCAATTTCTGGTATTCCTTGTCTTGTAGATGCATCACTCACATCTCTGTCTCCATCTTCACATGATGTTCTTGCTGTCTCTTTGCATCTTTACATGGCCTTCTTCACATGGACATTAGTCTTGTTGGATTAAGGGCCCACTCTACTCTAGTATGACCTCATCTTAATTAATTACATCTACAATGACACTATTTCCCCCAATAAGCTCACATTCTAAGGTACTGAGGGCTAGGACTTCAACATATCTCACTGAGGGGACAAAATTCAACCTACAACAGGCCTGATGGCAGGGAAGAGAGCTGAGTGTTGTAGGGGGAGAAGGAGGGACTGAGGGCTGGTCAGAGTGGCAGGGAGTACAGGGTGGAATTCTCAACACTCAGGAATGGTGGAGGTGGCTTTGGTCTCAAATTGATCCGAGTTTAGGATAACTATATTGGTTTATGCAGATTTAATTGTGCCTCCAGTTTTAGAACTTTTTTTTTTTTTTTGAGATAGGGTCTCGCTTCGTTGTCCAGGCTAGAGTGCGGTGGCGTGATCATAGCTCACTGTAGTGCTAACATCCTGGGCTCAGCCTCTTGATTGGCTGGGACTACAGGCACACTGCACTATGCCCAGCTTTTTTTTGATTTGTGTAGAGATAGGGTCTCACTAGGTTTTCCAGGCTGGTCTCAAACTCCTGGGCTCAAGCAATTCTCCAGCCTTGACCTCCCAAAGTGCTGGGATTATAGGCATGAGCCACTGCACTCAGCCTAGAACACCATTTTTTAACCATCAGAACTTGACTTGGATATGTGAGTTAAGTGCTTTACTAAAGTCCCAGTGTAGATGGATTCAGTCCTCTCCAGAGGCTTGGGGTGCTAATCTGGTTGAAAATGAGAAGCTCGGGGACTTGTCTTAAGCTGAACTTTATGGCAAGCTCATCATGTTTACATTCTCTTATTGCCTGGATCCAAGAGCATCTCCTGGGTTCTTCCTGTTAGAATGCTGAATGTCCATGGAGAGTTTAAGATGAGGAAGACGACGGCTGTCTCCCAGCTGAAACTGGTGCAGCAGATCATGCAAAGTAAAACCTCAGCAGCTTTGATGAAATAGAGCAGAGGGCCTGGGTGTCTGTCAACTCCAAGTGGAAGATTTCCCCCAGCTTTCTATGTAACTGTGCTTCCACTGGGCAAGCCAGACATAGACTTGAATGTCATCACAATTTGTGCCTGTGACATATTTCCCCAAGAACAGCACAAATTGAACTTTTACATTCTTCATAATATGGAAGGAAAGGTATTGACTGAGCCACTCCTTTAAGCCTCAAGACATCTCATATATATTTATATGGATACATACATGAATATATATATTCTGTCATAATAACATATTCTATTATTATCTTTTTATTATAGCACAATGTTAGGATAGGCTACACAGGCTGCAATTAACCCCCAAATAGAAGTTTATATTATGCATCATAAGCCAGTGCAGGGGCTCTCCTCGGCAACATCTCTAAGTGGTGACTTGGAGGTTCAGGCTCCTTTCATCTTGAAATGCCATCATCTTCAGCATTTGGCCTCAACAGTTGCCAGAGAAGGAGAAGAGAGTATGTATAAGATCACACTGCAGGATCTGTGGTAGGTCTGCAAGCACTGCTATCACATCTGCCAAATCCCGTTAGCCAGAACCCAATCATATGGCCCCATCCAAACTGCAAGGGAAGCCTGGGAAAGGTCTTCTTGTATGCCAGGAAGAGAAAATGAAATTGGCAAGTATGTCGCCAGTCTTTGCTACAAGTTTCTACATGTTGAAATTATTATCTATATTTTTCTTCTGATTATGCTTAGCATTTGATACTATGTAGACTGCCTTGTTGAGTCCCACTGTATTTCATAACATCCACATGCAGCATCCCATTCCTCACAACAGGACTAGGAGTGGTCATGAGAAGTTTGATCACCCACTTTATGGATGGAAACCCTGAGGCCCAGAGCAGTTACATGGCTTGTCCAAAGTTACATACCACTGTTAACTTAAAAACACACACAATTTATAAATTTAGACAAAGAAAGAGGAGACTTGATTTCTTATAAAGGGTTATAACCTTCAAGGTGGCTATCCCACAGGCTGGGAAGCACAGCTTTCAGCAGAAGCCCAGAGACAAGCACTTTGAAGACAGAGGGGTTGGGATGGAGCTTTATGCTGAACAGGTTGACCAAATATAATATTTAACAGGTTACAGGAGGAGCTGTGAATATGAATGAAGGTGGTCCTGACACATGCATATTGAACAAACATGTATGTAACACATGACCCATGTTCACTTTGGGATGGAGACTTAACATTTCAATGTATTACAGTTAGGCCCTACACATCAAAAGGTCGTTTCAGGACACAAAAGCTCACAAGTACACAATCTCTGTAAACTAGTCAGAATCAGTCCATGGTTGGTGGTCTTATCAGGAAAAAGTTATTAAGATTAGTCTCTCATCCAATGAAAGATGTAGTTATGGCTGGTGGAATGGGAGTTCAGTTGGGCAGTCTATGAGCAGGACGATTTGCAATTGTTTAAGTATTGCTTATCTTGAGGCCAGTGCTTGTTTAGCTGCTAGAGAAAAAGAAAATCCTTGTGGCAGTTAGAGCACAGTTTCTTCCTTAGGTGTAGGAGTACATGACTTCCCCTCACCTGGCATAGCCTTAGGTCCTGTTTATAATTTGGTATCTTATTGCCACAAAGAATCTGTTCTGTGAGTCATGTGATCTCTACTGGAACATTAATGCTGCTTAGTTGTTGTGTCTAAACCACAGAAGAGAGGGGGAGTATCATTAGACATGTCTGACCTCCCATCATAGCTGGGAACTAGACTTAAATTTTTTTTCTGGGGTCCTTTTGGCCACAAGGGGGTCCACTTAGTCAGTGGGGGACTTGGGATTTATTTTTAGTTTACACTGCTAAGTGACAGAGCTTTTCTTCTTTCACTCTGAGGTTACTGGTCTCTCTCCCTTGCCACATTGTCTTCCCCAGAGGCTCAAACTGGATGCCCAGCTCTCAGTGTACAAACTCAGGCATGCAAGAAATATATCTTTATTCTTTTATTAATCTACCTAATTTATATTTTAAGCCTCCACTCTATGTTGGAAGGTGTCAGCAATGAATTTCATCATTTTGGTATTTCTCTACCTTTAAAGATATGTTTACATTTGGGGTGGGATGAAGGCTTGGTGGAGGGGTGGGTGGTTAGGTTGTGCCAAGGTATTGGGAAATCCATTTGTTCCTCATGTCAGCTGTTTGAGGAGGCACCAACCCAGATGTCCACAGTTCCTTCTGGCCTTCCTTTACCAATACTGCTGCACCTGTGCCTCCTTCCTCTTTGCATGGCCCATTTGTGCCCAGCATCTCCCTGCTATTTTGGGGCCACTCCAGGGTCTGGGAAGTTCTATAGGCTTACAACATACAGTCTTTCTTCTCTCCAGCTTGCTGCCTCCCTAAGACACAGAGGTAGAGAAGTAGGAAAGGACCCACCCTACCCAGGCCTTTGCCCTCTCACTTTTCATCCATCCTTCTTCCCACTGGTGGAGGGATGTGTTTCTAGTCTTCCAGGGAAGCCCCTCTCTCCTCAAACCATTTTCTTCCAAATACTTTGGCTTTATTCCAAATCCTCTCTAGTCCTCTGAGATTATTTTATAACACAAAACACAACTTACAGAAGTTGTGCTGTTGTTTTGCTGTCTAAAGTCACATTATTTCCCTACCTTGAGGCAATAGGACAAGGGCTTGCTGTCCAAGGCATGGAGGCAGGGAGGAAGGGGTAGGGGAATACTAAGAAAAAAAAAAAATTTATTGATCACATGTGTATCACATTTAACTTTATCAGATCCTTGTGAGGTGAGCATCTGTATGTCATTGTTCTGAAACTAACAGTGAGGGGACGAAGCATTGATGGGAGTTCTTACAATATATTTGGGAACTCGCAGGTGAGGGCCTCTCCTGCCTGATTGGTCTTTAAATGTACCATCCCAACCCACCCACCTCAATCCCCATGTCTTGATCCTGCAGTCTTGGTGATCAAGCTTTCGGTTAAGAATTGGGCGATCATGAGCTAGTTAATCCAATTAAAAAAAAAAAAAGAATTAGGATCTGGGCTCAGAAGTCCCACAGCTGTGAAAGGCTGGCCATAGATTACTAGCCTTCTAAATATGGAACAGATTATTCCTTTCTCTGGCTATTTAAGTCTCACCTGCCTCAGTTATCAACACTGCCTCATCCTGCCTCAGTTATCAACACACGCCCTAGAGTAAATCTGTTCCCTGGGGGCGGAAATAGAAGGGGCTTGTCACGGTACACTGATGAAGGGAAAGGAAACATTAAGACGGTTTAAGTGGAAAGGCCACACATGGCTTGTACTAGAGAGACACCATGCTAAAGCAAAACGTCATTTAAAAAAATTCTGACTTGTCATGTGCTCAGAAATGCTCAAATGGGTACAACCATCACCAGGGTGGGACGGGAGGGCAGGGGGAAATAAAATATGAAGCATCAAAAAAAAAAAAAAATTCTGACTTGTATTTGTGAAATTCAATAGAATCCTATTCATTAAATGGATTTTAAAATCATTTCAAAGCACATTCGGCTTTCAAAAGATGTTTGTTTACAGAATACTGTTGGCTTTTGGTCAAAAAATGAAGTTTCGGTAACGCATAGTAACAACTGTAGTGTAATTACTGGCCGCAAAATACCAGGTGCCAGACCAACCCTTTTCTAACCATTTAAGAGAGCCAAGCCAAGCAAAAATGCCCAGCCTAGCCTTACCCAGAAGTTCAAAAGCTCGGCCTTTGTTACCAGGAAAAAATTAATTCAAAGAGCAAAGCCATTATTAGGCACAACCAGGTATTCTGTTGTAAACATCTTTTGTTAATACATGTTGAAAGCTGAACTTTCTCACATTTGAATGAAAGAGGGCTGCTTAAAGAGAGTTTAAACCAAGCCAGGTTCAAGATTTTTTTTCTTTTCTTTCTTTTTAGATTTCTGACATCATATCTGTGGGATCCACACAGTGGGGAGGTGCTGGCCTTGGAATCCATGGTTCCCCAGCTTTCATTTTAATTTAGAATTACAGTGTTCTCTGTTAGCGTCAAGGGAATGAACCTGAAGAGAAAAGACCAAACATAGGATGGTTACAGGGAAGAAAAATATGAAAAGACCTAGAGATGCACTTCCTCATTGTATGTAAGGAACCTATTTCCTAGAATCCTATAAAAAGCTCAAGTGAATTTGCTTCAGTTAATAAATGTGATTTAATTATAATGATAATACCACAGCATATGTTTTGTTTCCTCTTTTTTAATTGCTTCCTGTTAATTATTGAGAGAAGAAATTCAGTGTAACTTTTTTGTATTCTGATAATGATGAGGCTGTCTCATGTATTCTGTATGTGCTTCACAATGTATGCGTATATGTGTGTATATAGTTAAGTTGAAGAAGATGGCCATGTGTGGTCGCTACAGACAGATGTAAGGCTAAAGAAGGGCCTCCATGGTGTTAGAGCAAAACCCCATCATAAAAAGCTCTTTGCTATACTTAGGACCTGATTGTATCGGAAGGAAAAACATTCAGTCTTGGAATGACCTGAAAAACCTATGGTATGAACCTACTCCCCTTTCCTCACCCTGGTATTAGAATGAAGTTCTACAGTTCAGCTAAAGTGACCAATTCACTTTGGTTCATCCATGTTCCATGTCTCAGGAAGACAGGAAGAGTCTGGGCTACCCTAGGTTCAGCTGATGGAGTCTAATGGCCCTGTATGCCTCTTCACCAGTAGGATAGTGGTGGCTGACATCACTGACATGGACTGTGGGGCTGGGACTGTTCTGATCACCTTATGTGTCCCTCTCATTTGGTCCTCACAGTGTCCTGAAAAGTTTGGTGGCTATCTGCGTTTCACACATGAGGAAACCAAGGAAAAGGGAGAGTAAGCTATTAGGTTGAACTACGTGGAATTCCTGTTTGTGTAGATCAAAAAGGTTAAATATCAGCAAATGCATATTATTCAACCTACAACTTGCCCAATATCACAGAGTTGGTAGGTGGTGACCCCAGAGTTTGAACTCTTAACTACCCAGGATCATAGCTACATATCTATATTACAGATGACAGACCCAGGCTCAAAGCAAATGCACTATTTTATTTTATATATATATCAGTAATTAGTAAATTGTGTCCTTTCTTCTCCAGTCTGTGGCTTCAACTGCTGATTTTATTCAGGTCATAGTGTGAAAGTTGGCTCAAGTCAGACAAGACTGCCCTGCCTGTGGCCTGTTCCTGCTGCGCAGCTAAAAGCAGCTCATCAAACCAGCTCTTTCAAGCTGGCTGCCTCAAAACCTGCCTGCCTAAAAATATCTTTCTCTCAGATGGCACACAACCATACACTCCATCTCCCCAGCTGAGCTTCCCACCGTTAGAACGACTCAGCTACCCACATGCCTTCCACCCAAGCCATTGTTAAAATTCAACTGTGAACCCTATAATTCTCTCCTGTTAACACACTAATGATTAGTTTATCAGGTTACATGAACTCGATCTTGGATCAAGTGAAGTTTGTTTGGGCCTTGAGCTACAGATGGGTAAGGTCAGGTGCATGAGAGTGAATCATGGACCATTAGATGTGGCAGTAACATTAGAAGCTGCACTGGCCAGTCCCAGCATTTTACAGACGAGGCAACTGATGTTTAGGTGCCAAAGCCTAGGTGTCTTGACTTCAGGGTGACCAATCATCCCAGTTTGCCTGGGACTGAGGAATTTCCTGGCTGTAGAACTTTCAGTGTTCAAACCTGGAAAGTCCCAGACAAACTGGAACAGACTGACCACCGTGCTTATTTGGGAGCCCAAAACTCTTCCACTTGTCTGGACAAGTCAGGTTTGAGCGCGCCCTTGCAGTAAGACTCCCCAGGCTGCTTGGTACAGCTCAAAAATGCCAGGTGGGGAAATGACCACTAACCTGGTTTACCAAGGCTGGGTTCCCTTCAGTCTCTAAGCATGGACTTGGATGCCATGCGGGAGCAGCCATATTGCCCCATGACTGACCAAAGTGTTGGCCTCTTGGGCCACAGCATTTAGGGAAGCTGGTTTCATAGAGATGGTCTCAGAAAATAAGGCTGTGGTATGGTTTATGTACTTCATAGAGATAGGGCCACTGTGTCAGTCACAGCTCTGTGGTTCTCAAAGCCTGTGGGTGGAGTGCTGCTGCTGTTTGTCTCTGCTGCACATGGCTGCACAGAGGTTGGGAATGGAGAAGTATTTGGGCAGGGAGATGGATCAGCAGGGTTCCCCGTGCTATCATCATTTCCTTTTTTAGAAGTTTTGTCATTTAGAGGTTTTGAATCTTGCAATAAGCGGTCATCCTTGATTAACTTTGGACTTTTTCCCTTAAATGTCAGCCACCTAATTTTAAACTTTTTCCTGGTTTTACTTCTCCTCCCAGGCTATTTTGTCCTCAGTCCTTGGTTGCTTGGCAGTTGTTTCCAATATAGCGCCTCCTGCTTTCTGTTCAGCTGGGATCCAGCTCTAGCTCATGCCCTATACATGGGGCCTATGTGTGTAAACTAAAGAAGGGAAGGAGGCTGGGCGTGGTGGCTCACGCCTGTAATCCCAGCACTTTGGGAGGCTGAGGTGGGCGGATCACGAGGTCAGGAGATCGAGACCATCCTGGCCGATGTGGTGAAACCCTGTCTCTACTAAAAATACAAAAATTAGCTGGGCATGGTGGTGCATGCCTGTAATCCCAGCTACTTGGGAGGCTGAGGTAGGAGAATAACTTGAACCAGGGAGTCGGAGGTTGCAGTGAGCTGAGAGCACGCCACCACACTCCAGCCTGGGCGACAGAGCGAGACTCCGTCTCAAAAAAAAAAAAAAAAAGAAGGAAATCAGGAGACAAGTAAGGAATAACACAAGAATCCCAGCCAGGCAAAATTGTTAGTGCAAGTTCTCTTCAATATTCTCTTTCCTGCATGCATTGTTTTAACATACCCCCAAACCCACCTCCACTTCCATCCCTACCTCTACACACATCTACGAGCATCTAAACTTCCCACGATCCACGCTTGCTCTCAACCATCACTAAAATGGCCTTAGTGCCCAAATAACAAATTTACTGACCTGGTAAACGAATCCCTGATGATGGGGGTTAAAGTTAGAGGTGCAGCCCTCAGAAGTGAATCTTAGCTTTGATCTTTATAGTTAATATCCTGCCGAGGCTATCTTAACACTTTAATAAATGTAGTTCTTATGGAGGAACTGTGGCGCTGGGAGGGCAGGTAGTGGCAGGAAGCATACTGGAGGATTATTTTCGGAAGAGCTCTGTGATGAGCTCTTTTTTTCTTTTTAACAAAGAAAAATACAGGATGCCCAGTTGGATTTGAATTTCACATAAACAACAAATAATTTTTTGGTATAAATATGCTCCATGCAATATTTGGGATATACATATACCAAAAATTATTTCTTATCTGAAATTCAAATTTAACGGGGCATCCTGTATTTTACCTGGCAATTCGTTCTGTGACCTGTGATGGCTCCTAAATGTGCAGCCTGTGCAGTAGAGGGGCAGGATTGCTGTGGAGTTCAGAAGTTTCCAAATTCTGGCAGAAGGCAACCACCCCTTCAGGGAGGGCATTGCACGATATAGTCAAGTGAAATTACTGCCCCCACAGCCAACCCTGCTGATGCCTGCGGGCATCCAAGGCAGGCCTGAATGGAACATGCCCGGAGACTGGCCAAGGTGCCAGTAAAGTGGGTGTGTTCTGCCAGATCCTTCCAAGAACGTAAAGTGTCTAGTTCTGGTGCTGACAATTGACCTAATATCCACCACACTAGAACACTATTTTTAGGTCTGAGGAAGGAGTGCAAGATTTTAAAAATAAGGTAGTAGATATAGGGAAATTACATTCAAGAAGCTCAATCCTGAATGTGAGTTTAAGACCAGGAAATGCAATATATTAGATCTAGCAAAGGTTAGTACAAGTAGCTTTCCATATATAAATTCCTAACACTGACCATGCATGGTGGCTCACATCTGTAATCTCAGCACTTTGGGAGGCCAAGGTGGGCAGAATCACTTGAGGCCAGGAGTTCAAGACCAGCCTGGCCAACGTGGTGAAACACCATCTCTGCCAAAAAATTAAAAAAATTAGCCAGATGTGGTGGTACGCATCTGTAGTCCTAGCTACCTGGGAGGCTGAGGCACGAGAATTGACTGAACCCGGGAAGTAGAGGTTGCAGTGAGCCAAGGTCGTACCACTGTACTCCAGCCTGGGTGACAGAGTGAGACTGTGTCTCAAAAATAAATAAATAAATAAATAAATAAATACCTAAGACTTTTCTTTCGCTTTTTTTAATGAACAAAGGTAATGCTACCAGCTTTAGGAAAATTGCCTTTACCACCCATAATGTTTTGTTTTCAAGTAATAAAGACAGAGGCTATTTTGTTGTCTGCTATTAGTTTCCATATATAGCCTACAGTTATACCCTGTCTGCACGTCCAGATCTACTCTCTACCCTTCTCTGTCCTGCTCTATCCTCTGGGAAGCTGACCCCTTATGGACTTCTTTCCCTTCTGGATTCTGATTGGGGCCAGCTAGTGGGAA